GGGTTCCCCCCCCCCCCCCCCCCAGATATTCATTGGAGAAAGGAGCACAGCAGTGATATGAAAATATGTTTGAAAGAGTAGGAGCCATATTGGGACTAATTACCCCCTGCCTTTTAAGGCCTAGAAGTTTTGATAAATAAAATAACTGTGTTAAGCCCTATGAGAGCTTTCTGGGGGGGGGGGGGGGAACCATCAAAAGCAAATTCACACAAAAATGGGGTTGTAAGAGACTGTGTGTGGTATAGCATTATTGTGGGACAATAACTTTGTAATTTAAAAATGAATGATCCTATATCTAGAATCAAATTCAGTTTGACTCTAAATATTAGGTTCTTACAAATACTTAACAATGTATTTCCAACATATAGTTAATGCAGATAGCAGGATAATGCCACAGATAGGCATTTGTGTACGTAGGGTGTGTAATGCTATGATGGACCACATCCTAACCACTCCTCTGTCTCTTCTGATGCTTTCATTCAGTCTAGCAAGTTTATCCATGCCCATGCAGAGCTGGAAGTTGCCCAGTATAAACTGAAAAGACAAGACTTGATGCTTCATTCTGAGTTCTTCCAGAGAATCCTTCACTTGCCTTTGGTGTATAGCTATGGAGAATATCGAGATCTTTTCAGAGACTATGGAACACATTACATCACTGAAGCAACTCTTGGTGGCACTTATGAGTATACTTTGGTCATGAATAATAATGAGCTTGAGAAGGCAGGTATGATTGCAGAGAGGACTGTCAATCAACCAGATGATTTAGGCTGAGTTTTTAAAAGGTTTTATCTTAACTTACAAACACTTGTTCAAATACTTAACCTAGCAACTTGGCCCAAAGTGCTTTCATTGAAAGAAATGATGGATTTGGGTTAATTAATTTTCCATTGTGCCAAGAGTTTTGGTTTGTTTAACCTCTCTAGGTGCTGATCGCTGGGCTCTTGCAAAAATAGGACCATTTAAAATTCAACCCTCTTTCTTACTATTTTTTTTAATTTTGAGACATTAATATCATCTGTCTCTTTTGATGTGATAATTGTACATGATGTAAATCGTGTGAAATAGCCCACCTAAATGAATATCTTGTAATAAACTTTATCAACCTCTCCTTTTCCAAGAGGCTAGGAAAGTACTAAGAGAATATGTTCACTTGTATAAATTCCTCCTGAATAGCCACTTTTCTGCCAACACTCATGGAAATGCCTTCATTTTGCTTCTGTAGACTTCTTTTCCAAGAAAGACTGGCCAGCTGCATGTCACTGGAACTTTTAAGTTGAAAAAATTAACAGCTTTTAACTGCCAAATTATTGAAGTGGTTTTAGTTTCTGGTTTTCATGAGACCATCGCCTGTTTTTTAAACAAGTGATTAAATCATGGTAGATTGATGCAAGCCATTTTAGGGACTAAAAACTTAAACCAAAAGGCATGTAATTAGCCATAATGAATAAACTAAAATTGAGTTATGGGAATTAATTTTAGACAGCTTTATATCCATGCAGCAATAGGAAGCTGGTGGGAAATCTGGGTGTTACAGTGTTAAGACACCAGGGAGTGAGTTGGCTGAGTGAGAAGTTACCCAAAAGCTACATCCTATCTCATTTAAAGTTTTTTTTGTTGTTCATTTTTGTTGTTTTGTTTTGTTTTGTTTTTTGTGATGCACCTGTGTCTATCACTGGGGGATACTATCATTTAGAGATTCTTTTACAGCCATGCATATGAGTTGGAAACTCACCCCCTTGGGACAATTATGTGATTAATTCAATTGATGAAATCTGAAAGTCCAATACCTTGACCAAACATTCTAAGACTGCCACATTCTCTTTTCCTTTCTGTAAGCATCCAGATTGTCCACCCCTCGGAAAGAGTAAATAATTGACTGGGATGAGTCTCCTATCTGACATTACTCTCACAGTGTGATGGATGCTACTTTTGCAAGGCCAGTGTTCTCTGGGCAGAACAAAGAAAGCTTTGGGCTTTTAATCAATAGCTTCAGTCTCTTGTTTACCCATTGGCAAAGGGAAGTTGACAAACCGTCTGTACAAGACCTCCTCTGTAAGGCATGCTTCTCAGCAAGCAGCATTTCCCTTGGGGCTGAGAATATAGATGCTAAGTTTTATTACCGTTGTAGTTTTAGCCTCATAGAGAAAGACAGTAGGCTGGAAAGAATGTTCCATTATGGGTTTCCTTTACTTAATTAGTAAATGGTTCCAGTTCCATTTCAATTGTCTAACTTAACCATGTCTTCTATTC